ATGGCACTCACTCTAGCCTGGACAACAAAGCGAGACTCTGTCTCAAAAAAAAAAAAAAAAAAAAAGGTAATGCGAGAACATGGGACTTTGGTATAGCTAAGTGGGGAACTCGGCAAAGCCTCCCCACAAAAAGCAATGATAAAAATGACAAAATGGCTCAACCGTTTTAGGAGTCTGGAAACTAACTAAAGATATAAAACAAAATGAAAGTACAAGAAATATATTCATGAAAAATTACTAAATTTCAGGTAAGAAAAGTGAGAGTCAATGACCTTCCTGCCTGGGGATGTTGCCAGTCCTCCTCCCCAGCCTAGCTGGTACACTACTCTCACTAGGGCAGGGAAAGCCATGAAAACCCAAAGCTTTGTTGTACAAAAGGATTGGCTTAATTTGGAATAAAATGTGAAACACTCCACACCCAGCTGTAAAACAGAGCATTTCTGGTAGAAAAGGCATAGGGATGACCTGTGAATCAGCAAGCCTAAGATTGCATTCTGGTGAGGGCAAGTAAGAGGTCAGCAGACCAACCAGACATTTAACAGAGGGCTTCAGGAAATGAGACGGCCATGGAGGACCTCCGTAAGCTCTCCACATGCCTCTGGCCAAATGGAAGCCTATGCGTAAGTACAGCGAAGAATGGAAGGTGCCAAGGCCCTCCATCCACCCTTTCCTGATGGTATGTATGGGCACATGCAGGGGAGCCAGGGGAATCTGGGAGGAAAGTAAAAGCCAGGGCAGGTATGAAAACAGACTCCTTTGGATACAGTCCCCAATGCACACACAGCCCCATTGGCAGAGGACAAAGCCTCACTAACACAGGTGTGTGAGCAATGCTGACACAGAGAACACTCCTAGCTGGCCAGGCTTAAACATAAAAGTAGAAAAATAACATTAAAGAGAGATATTATTAGCTGTACCCATGAGGGAGATAGACTACACAGATCCAGTCTAACTAAATTATTAAAGAAACAGAAGAAAAAAAGAAAAGGAACAATATTTAGTAAACATATCAGAATCTAGATTTGCTATGATGTTATCTAAAATGCAGAGTTTTCAACAAAAAACTAAGAGATGTAAAGAAATAGGAAAATGTGACACACACTCAGGAAAAAAAAGCAGTACAAAGAAAATATCTTGGAGAGGGCCCAGAGGTTGGACCTGCAAAAAAGAGATTAAAGAAAGTACGATAACTATAATGAACTGTTCCTCTCTTTCACTAGAGGAGCTCAATGGCAGACGTAAGGTAGAAAAATTAGTGAACTTGGAGAGAGGTATAATTTTAATTAAAATTTTTCAGTTTGAGGCACATTTGGAAAAAAGCATGAAAAAAAATGATACTCACTCATCTATGAGATGCCAGCATGTATACCAACACACATAGCAGAAGTGTGGGGAGGGAAGGTAGAGAAATGTAAAGAAATAATCACCGAAAACTTTCCACATATAAAGAAAAACATAAACCTGTAGATGCACAGAGCTTAACCAACAAGATAAATGTACACATCACAGCATATTCTCACTTATAAGTGGGAGCTAAATAATGAGTACACATGGAAATAGGAAAGTGGAATAAATAGACACTGGAGACCCAGAAGGGCAAGAGGGTGGGAGCGTTGGAGGGAAGTGCGGGATGTGAAATTACCTATTTGGTACTATGTACGCTAACTGGGTGACGGTTGCATAAGAAGCCCCAACTTCACCACTACACAATATAGCCACATAACAAATCTGCACATGTACCCCATAAATCTATAAAAATAGAAAACCACATCACAGCTAAATTGATGAAAACCAAAGGCAGAGAAAGTCTTGACAGCAACAAGAGAAAAACAACAGATCACGTACAGGAGAACAACAAAATGATTAATTATTCTCTTGTCATCAAAAATAATGGAGGCCAGAAGGGACAGCGGCATATTCAAAGTACTGGAAACAAACCAATTAACAAAACACAAAAAAACTGTCAACTAAGAATTATGTAATCTATCCTTTAAAATGTAGGTAAAATAAAGACCCTGCCAGAAAAATAAAACATTTTTTTCTAGTAGACTTTGGTTACAAGAAAGTCTAAAGGAAGTCTTTCAGGCTAAAAAGAAATAATAATGTATGGCAACTCTAGCCACAGGAAATGAAGAGCACCAGAAATAGTAAATGTGTGGGTTAACATAAAAGATTTTAGAAAAATATTATACTGTAAACCAATATTCCCAGAATTATAGATGCAAAAACTCTTAACAAACTATTAGTAAACTATATCCAGCAACATATAAACAAGATTATATACCATAACTGAGATTTATCCTCAGAATGCAAATTTGGTTTCATATCTGAATATCAACTAACGTAATATGTTATTATTAACAGAATAAAAGAGAAAAAAATCACTTGATTATCTAAATAGGCAGAAAAAGTATTTGGCAAAATCCAGCACCCATGCATACACCATTTATTCATAATACACACTCTCACCAACTATGAATGGAAGAGAACTTCAACATGGCAGCAATAAAAAATCTGCAGCTAATGGTGAAAGACTGAATGCTTTTCTCCTAATTTTAGCAAAATACTACCTTTAGCATTAGAGGTTCCAGTCAGTGTAATAAGGAATGGAATAGAAAGGAATAAAATGGAATAGAATAAAATAGCATAGTAACATAAAAAGATTAAAGTCATCTAGATTGGAAAGGAAGAAGTAAAACAGTTTTTATACACAGATGACATGGTCCTGAATGCCATCAAATCCTAATAATTCACTAATTAGGATTCCATTAAATAATCCTAATGAGTCTATTAAAAAACAGCACACTAGAACTAACAAACATGCTTAGCAAGGTCACAAGTTTAAGCAAAAGATCAATATATAAAAATCATTTGCATTTCTATACACTAGTAACCATCTGAAAATGAAATTTAAAAATAATTCCATTCACAATAGCATCAAAAGCATAGAATATTTAGTAATAAATTTTATAAAAGAAATGCAAGGCTGATACCCTTTTTAGAGAAATAAAAGAATATCTTTTTTAAAAAGTGGAGAAACATTTTACCTTCATGGATTAGAAGACTAAAAACTGTTCAGATGAAAATTATACGCAAATTGATCTACAGATTCAATATAATATTTATCAAAATCCTAGCAGGCTTTTTTGGTAGACATTAACAAGCTGATCCTAAAATATATATGGAAATGTAAAAAAGTCAGAATAGCCAACACAATTCTAAAAAAAGAACAAAATTGGAGCAATTATACAACCTGGATTTCCAAATTTACTTAAAGGCTAAAGTAATAAAGACTATACTACTGACATTAAGGACAGGCATATAAATCAACAGAAGTGAGAAGCCAGAAATAAACCCTTACATTTATGTTCAGTTAATTTTTGACATTGGTTCTAAGGCAATTCAATGAGGAAATGCTTGTCTTATTTCAACATATGGCGCTAACACAACTGGATATCTATATAGAAAAAGACAAATTTAGATCCTAACCTCACACCTTACATAAAAATTAACTCAAAATGAATTAGGAACTTAAATGAAAGAATACTAAAAAGCATTGAAAAGGAAACAGCAGAAAATCTCTGTGACCTTGGTTAGACAAAGATTCTTTTGGTAGCCCAGATTCAGGGTGAGGGAAATTAGATTCTACCTCTGGGTGGAGGACTGTAAAGGTCCTGGGGTAGAAGGTACCACTGCAGCCATCTTTGGAAAATAGAACCTGTCCTACCTGGCTAGACCAGCATTGCTGGTCCACACTGCATGCCCACTAGAACATAAACCTCTGCTTAGTTGTGGTATTTCATAGTTAAAATTTTGTAGTCATTTATATGAATATGTGGTTATTATATGACTCTCCCATTAAACTATAAACTCCATGAGGGCAGAGATCTTGTCTTTTATTAATTCACGTATGCCTATCACATAGTAAGTTCTCATAAATTTTATTTTTAAACTAAATGTCATATTAAATGGACTGTCCCATTTGTTTGTGAGAATTCAGGAAAACATTAGCCATTTTCAGCTCTCAGGTTATTAAATACTTAGTTGTAATTCCATGTCCCAGCTTTCTGAAGGCAACCCTGAGTTAAAATATCCTTTCCCTATAAATATAATTATTTTCCTCAAAGATGATATCAACACAATACATGTGCTACAATACATACATCAATCTATCAGAACAACCTAAGATCAATGAAGATAGTTTTATCTCAGAGTTTGGCAGATGTGTCAGCTTCTCTAAAATAAATTGTCTACAGAACCCAAGTGCTGAGTGCTTTCATTTTTATCAAGAGCATACAAATCACATAAAAGAGTGTGTAAATCAAAAAATTACAATAACTTTTATAACAGAAGTAGAGTAGTAGTCCCTTTATATTATCACATTCTTAGCAATGTCAAGGTGTCTGAAAGGGTTAAAACAGACTATCAGTTGTCTGTCAGATGCTAGTTACATATTAGCTAGCAATAGCCCTTCTCCTCTGTGCTCATTATGGTTAAGTCTGTTATTATATTTATCACATTGTACTGAAATCACCTGTTGATGTTGCTCTTTTCCCCTAAATTACATATTGTTTGAGGGCAGGGACAACTTTTATTCATGTCTGCATGCCCAACACAACGCACAATGTTCAGCACATGGAAGGCACTAATAAGTCTGTGTTGGAGAACAAACAAATGGTTTGTGAAGCGTTTTCAGTGTCACATAAAATATAGGACTTGAAGTCCCAAACCTGAATTAGTGATTCTAATCTGCAAGATTTTTAGCCATGAAACCTCAGCTGTACTATTTAATTTCTCTAAAAGTCCAACGCCTCATAAAGAAGGAATAGTGCCAAGTAATTCACAGGGACACTTATGAGGTTTACTCAAAGTGATGTACATGGAGCTTTTTAACAGATAAGGAGCTATGCAAATAACAATTACTGACAAGAATTGTCAAGGATTAAAGTAAAGAAAGGACTTTAAAGTACAAGTTAACTATCAAGAAAAACTGTACTAACAGGGATGAGGAACTTTTTGATTTCTTCCAAAGCATGTCCCATCCGAGCATAAGCTTCTGCAGGTGGAGCAAACACTTCAATGAGAACGTGGAGATCGTCATTAAGGTGGAAGTACTTTGCTTCTCCACTTTTCCTCAACTCTTCTTCCTGAAAAAAACAGAAAAATTGCATTTAAAAATGCATCATTATAAGAAAAGAAAAAGAAAGTAAAAAGGAAAAAGGTGTAAACTATACATCTGATGCTGGATATTCCCAGGCATTTATAAACATGCCAAAGGCTTCCTACTGTGCTGGAATAAAGTCTCCTTTCCTGACGCTGGTCTACGAGGAGCCCCATGGTCTGTCCACTGCTGCCTGCTGTGGTGCCTTTGCCTTCCTGTCTCCTGAGTTTGACTATCTGTTTAGCTGCTGCACAGGCCTCTGTTGTGTTTCTCAACCTGGCAAAGCTCCCAAGCTCACTTATGCACTGACTATGCTACATGCCTTTGATGCTATTACAAAGCATTTATCACTATCAAAATACCAAAATACCTTATTTTTTTACTTATCTATTTTTGATTTTCCCTCACTGGAAGGTGATCAGAGCAGAAAGTGTTTTGTTTGGTGATATATTCTTCATGTCTAGGGAAGTGCTTGGTATATAGGAGATTCTCAACAAATATTTGTTGAATGAATGATTAAATATTACTTCTATGAATGAATTATTTGCTCATTCACATATTCATTCAAAAACATTTCTACATGTCAGACACTATACGATTTTACACAATTATGATAACGTTTTTTAAACTTTAAAATCATTACATGATTTTACATAATTATGATAAAGGTTTTTAAACTTTTATATTTTGGTTTACATAAAGAAATTCAGGCGGAATTGAGGAGGGGGAAAAAGATTTTTAAGGGACTACTGATTTTTCTCTCCTGCCTTTTCCTAACTAACATTCAATTATAGGTCCAGATTTAGAGAATCTGGGTCATCTATTAATCTTTGTTTCCAATATTAAAATCAAGACAGATTAAGATTAGTAGGAACCTGAAACTAGAGTCATTTCTAAAAGGTAGAAAATCTTCCTAGCCTCTTCAAAAAACCCATCCCATAAGAGACATAACCCCAGGAATTCCTGGCAACATCGTCTTTTAATGCCATTATTATCCAAGAGGCCAATAATGCTAATGCTACAGACATACACACTGGAAGGATTTTGTATCATTATATAATTCCATAGAGTGAGGAACTATTACCAGACTATATCATAGTTTTATGATGAGAGGCAGAATAGTGTTTAGGGAAAAACACAGACTTTGAAGTTCTACATTCAAATCCCCAATCCAACATTTACTGTATGACCCTGGGCAGGTTACATTATCCTCATTTTAAAGGGGTGATTTTCAGCGGGAATAAAAATAGTATAGTACTTATCTCATAAGGTTGTTATATTAACAAAGGAATTAATACACAAAAAGTCTTTAGAATTATGCCTCACACATAATGAACACTCAATAAATGATGAATATAGTAATGATTATTATTATATAACTATAGCGTTAATTATTCTATAGTAAAGAAAGTGTGGGCAAAACATCTAGCATGACGTTTGGCACAAACTAAAGGCTCAACAGATCATAGCACTATCATGACTATTATTTCTATAACCAGCTGATACATATCAGTAATGACTCCCATAATTTCATCAATATAGCATATAAATGAAGAAAATGAGTTAAATTCTCATTAGACTTTAAATAGTGAAAACTCGGAGACTCTAAAAGGATAAGATCTTAATACTAAGTAATGGGAATCTCTTTAGAAATAAATATATTATTAATTAATAATTTCTACAAATGAAAAAAAAACTAGTGGAAAGGACCAACTGAAATCAATATTCATAGGTTCAAGCAGTGAGGATCTGATTATAATAGAGCAGATGGGATACTGGTAGTATCCATTTAGGTAGCAAACTTCTTAAATGATCATCTATGGTCATCTACAGTAAAATGCTTTTGAAGGAATAACTAATGGACCATGAGAGAGGCTTACAGCACAGTATGAGGCATGGGCAAGAGAAATGGAGTGAAATGGGCTCCTTCTTACTGTATTCAAGAGTTTAAAGAAGGAAATGGCAGACTCAGGGTTTTATGTTATGAGTTCAAGCTCAAAGAGCCAGATGTATCCTACCTAGAAGGTTTTACTGCTTGTTGCCACTGGCTGATGGACCCAACAGACAGGTGCAAGTACAAGTCTATGTGCTGCTGAATGACAACGCAGATACCCAGCCATCTCTTATGTGAGATTTGGGACCGTGTCTGGATAATGGTGAAAACCTGAGAACTAAACTGTGACATTTAGAAGGATCCAAATAACTCTGAGTACCCACATACTAAAACCCCACTCAGCCTTCTGTACCAGCAGAAGCCTGTCTGAGGAGGCCTTTCCTACACTGAGCAGCTGAGGTAGTTCCTTAAAAGGAGATGACAATTCTTATGCTTCACTACCCCCTCCCCCTTATTACACCCCGCCTATGATTAGATCTCTGTTTTCTCAGAGATGCAGAGAATGAGAGAGCTAAATTAAATCCAGTGGTAAAGGCTACTTGCATATAGTTATTATAATATCTTCTAGTGTGTGACACTTCCTCCAAGTCTTCCTAGCAAGGATCTAGGACCTTTTTCTAGAGTGACTGTACACTAAGGAAAAGAAATAACACAGCCGGTTTAAGAACTGACTCTGACCTAATGCCACTTCACTGAGGGCCTCGGCTCACAGTAGAGCTTATGGAATCAGGAAATAAATAGATTTATGGTCCTAGTCCATTGACAATGAGTTCAGTGGATTGTAAATCCACAGTGTGTGCTATCCCTGATGGAATATAAATAATCAGCCACTTGCAGATTAATTCATTCATTGATCCTTGTGGTTAAAGACATAGAAATGAGAGGATTAGTGAATGGGTGATAAGTGGTCTGGAAAAGAGGCCTAAGTATATAAAAATAGGGTGTCCTATGCAAATGCAGAGAAGGCATTTAGTCAGGTAGTCAGGAGGACCCACTGTAGGACATGTTACAATGCCTCATTCACCACCCACCTCAGTGCTACTCAAGGTGTTCATAAATTAAGGTGTTCATAGTAACAGGGAGAGAAGTCATGCCTTACTTCATAACACTGACTGCCCTCAAAAAGGATGACTGCCTACTACTGCAAGTGTCCAATATGCAATAGCAGAGAGCAACCACAAGCCATTGAATATGACAATGTGATGTGAAAGGACCACCAAACCCTGACAGCAAGCTGATAAAATTGAAGATCAGTTTCATTATACAGATAGCCAGGCACTTGCTGTTAAACTTGGGCACATTATCTAGATTAGGGGTCCTCAAACTTTTTAAACAGAGGGCTAGTTCACTGTCCCTCAGACCATTGGAGCCCTGGACTATAGTTTTAAAAAAAAACTATGAACAAATTCCTATGCACACTGCACATACCTTATTTTGAAGTAAAAAAACAAACGGCCAAAAACACCCGCATGTGGCCCGTGGGCCATAGTTTGAGGATGCCTGATCTAGATAAAAGATTTGTCTTCCTCACTTCCTTTTCATCTGTAAAACTATTGATGGATGCCCTGATCACTACCACCGTATGCTATAAAACACTGCTTCTGGCCAAGAACTCCCTTAATGACAAAGTAAGTAGGACAATGGATAACTGCCCATGGGTTTCATTGCTCCTATCATGTTAGTCCATTATCAGACCGCCTTATTAGAGAATTAATTAAGATATCAGCAAGGGTGGAATATTCTACAAAGTATACATAATTTTATACCAACTGACCAATATATGGTTTCACTTTCTCCTACTGCCAGACTAGATGAGTCAGGGATTTAAAGTAACATAATTTAAGACCGTGATGCTTACTGAGTAATTAATAACACCCAGCCCATGCATTAGAATCATTTCAAGCACCTAACGAAAATTGATTTTGTGGTTCTACCCTAAACAAGTTGGAGTATGAGAATCTGTATTTTTAAACTGTATCCCATATGAGTCTGAAACATGCCATGTTTTCCACTGCTGTAGTAGAAAATATATGGGTGTTGGTGTCAAAAAACCATGGTCTTATTAATTGTGTTAACCCAATATAATTAATTTCTCAAATTAACCCAAATAATATACCCAAATTCTCTGAATGTCAGTTTTATCACATGTAAAATAAGGAAAATATTATCTTCCATCATTTTTCCAAAGATAACATGAAAGACTGCATATAAAATGTTTCACACAATGCCTGTCTCACAGTGGTGGTTCAATAAACAAAATAGTGGCTATTTTTATTATAAAAGCTATTATTTAGATAGATTTTTTGTGAGAAGGCTGGATTTTGTCTAAATAACTTTCATGTCTAAAATGATCACTGTTCAACATTTCATGCTATGTGATCACTGAATATGGATTTGGTTCTCAGTAATAAAAGTCTTTCAACAATGAGAGAACAAAGACTGACATTAGAGAACAACGTAAGTGACACATATTATGCTTGTGTTAGAATAGTAAGCAATTACTAAAACACTTAAAATCAATTTTAGTAACCCAATAAAATGTATTTAATATCAAATAAAGGACAAAAAGATGAAATAAGAGTGTATACATTATAAACCCAACTATATGAAAGATATGCACAGGGAAAAAAGCAGCAAAAGAACAAATTAAAATGCAAACAGCGATAGCATGTCTGTGGATGGATTTTACTTCTCTTTATAACTTTAATATTACCATACTTCCTACAAGGTAACATATTACTACTAGAATAAAAAATATAAGTATTAGGCTTTTATATTACATATGAACATAAAGGTTACAGATACAGGATTAAGATACTACATATTCCAAAACTGGCCAGAATGACTCAATTTTCAAAACATATCACTTATATATAACCTTATATAACATTTTCATATAATTCCATTTGAGATCCTAGTTAGCTTATAGATATATATGTATGTATAAATACAATGGCTAATATTAAAGTACAAAACATAACTTGACTACAAAAATAGCCATTGTCTACAATGAATATTACCTTTGCTTTGTCTCTCATGGAACCTTTTCCAAGGATGGACATTTTTGTCAAAGTTTCTTCTTGTAAACGCTTCAGAGAATTGCCACGTGGACCCAAAAGTTTCCCCACAAAGTTGAACTAGGAAAAATAAACAGACCAACCAAATTTGTAACATTCATATCTGAAAGTAATTTATTAATCCTGAACATCAGGAGACATTGTAGTATGCTACACATCATTAATTAATGACAAATATTTAGGTTGCTACTAAACGCATCACACTGTGATGTTTCCCACAAACCACATAAGATGCTGCTAAAAACTGTAAATTTATAAAAATGATATATTTCTTTATACCAATTCAGCACTGGCTATAATTCACAAATTGTGGACAAAGTTAATGTCCCAGAATTCCTAAGTTGCTATGCTGACAATTTCAACACACATTAAATACCAACCATGAATACTTCTGGTATTAAAATGTAGCTGAGGAAAAATGACACCACGTTATTATAATATGTACTAGACTGGTCATAACAGAATAAGTGGGTTCCTCCACCTGGTCAGCACATAGAATTGGTTATTCAACTAGTGAGTGGACTGGCCTAGATGAGTCAAGCATTCAGTGGCTGACAGAAGCTTTACAACAAAATCATTTACATCTTCCAAAATAACTAGCTATAGGAATGTGGACAATTTATTTAACCTAGATGCCTAGGGTTTTTTATTTAACACACAGACTGGAAGGGAATTAATTAAGCGCATGTCCTCTGTATTTAGAATACCATGGTTTACAACCTGTTTTTTTCTGTTACCAGCTGAGTAATCCTAGGAAGTAACCTCTCTGTACCTTAGTTTCCTCATCTGTAAAATAGGAATGGACATAGGACCTATCCTCATAGGGCTGTTCTGAAGATTAAATGGGTCAATATAAATAAGTCATTTAGAACAATGCTTGGCACATAATAGACACCCAATAAATGTATCCTGAATGAAAAAAAAATTATTATTAGGAATTTCTCACAACTTTTAAAAGCCTTACTATGTAATTAAGGTAAGCCATGACTACTTCTTGCTCCCAAACAGAAAAACAGCAGGGAGGAAACTGTTCCCTTTGGTGAGATTGATTACAAACTCATACAGTTGCCACTTCCCCCATGATCTATGTCACTGCTGTGCTGTTGCTGTTTCTAAGAGAAAATTGTTCCTCAATTTATCTAACCGTAGCAATTGAAATAATTTTTCTAGAATACATAGTTAGCACTTTAAAAAATCAAAATGGTATTTTTTCATTCCCACTTTTAATTTTACTGGTCTTCAACCAAAACTCAAATAAATATTTTTAATCTTTGCATGTAATTATTTTTTGCTTTTTAAATTTTAAGTACTTTTTAAAAATATAAAAAGTCATTCTTACAGAATTAACAAAGTCAACTGCTACTACAAGGCAACAAAAAGAATCAGTGTCCTGAACCCTTAACCCTACACTACTCGTGTCCCCCATTTTCTCTGCTTTTGTTTTCCTATAAATTCTATTTTTCTAGTATCTGGAAATTGGATATCCTATGTTGGATCACTACATTTTTCTCTTATTTTTCCTGTTTGTTTTACTTCTGGAATATTTAACTACATTTCCTATATATCTATCGATCCATTTCTGCTATCAAATGTTTAACCACTAACAGGACTTTCTTATATTTGTTCCTTTTAAATAGTATTTTGTCTACATTTTGTGGAAGAGATTGATAACCGTGGCCCCTTCCTGCCTTGGAGTTTATAGTATCTGCTTCTTCCAACAGTTTTCCCTTCCCTGTTTTGAGAGCTGGTCTAATCTTTCTATATTATGTGCTTTCCTCAGATGTCAAGTAATCCTCTGCTATCTGTTTTTAAAGATTTAAGACTGAAGCTCTACAATGCTGACTGGGAAGTTCTGCTTTCACACACGGGACTTGACAACTGGTAGGTTTTATGGTAAATATGGCAGCCCAGTGTTCTCATCAGGAGCTACTCAAATATCAGTATCTACATTTCTTTTCTCTTGGGTTAGGCATTTCCCAGATGGGGAGGGAATTCCCCAATCTCCTAAGAGGAGTATAAGCCTGGTTGCCAGAATACTGGGAATCCCATTTTTAAGCATGTACACTTTCATTTAAAGGAAATAATTCCCTCATTTTCAGGGTGACATCTCATACTTGTCCTCAGTTGTATCTATCTCTATCACAGAGCCTAATACTTCAACCTCTTCAGGAACTCTCTGGTCTTCTGCTAGGGTGTGGAGTGGCAGATGCCTGGTTGGGAAGAACATCTGGTGGTCTATTTCTTATGCAAACTTCCAACCAAATCTCTTTTTAGTTCTATCCCGTAAGTCCACCTTTACAGTAACCAACATCTACAATACCTGTGTGTTCTAAAGTCTCTCCATGGTAATGAGCATGTTTCTGGCTGAATTCCTCTCACCCTTTCAGCTCAGGGTTCCACTTTCTCTGGTCTCCATTACCATTTATCCATCTATTTTGCAGCTACCAAATTTTTACTGACATCATTTTGCTATTGGCTCACTCTCCCAGTCTTTTTGTTTTCATGGAATTGTGCCTTTTTTATTTGCTTATGTTCATTTTAGTAGGCTTCAAGGATAGAGTAAAAATAAATTTGAGGTAAAACTACCATATTTACATTACATTTGAAATGGTCAAATATTTTCCAATTGATAAAAAAATTAAGTGGCTTTAAAAATCATCTGATCCAAACATCTAATTTTACACTGAAGAACTGAAATTCAGTGTGATGTGATTTATTCAAGGTTACTTGATAAAACATAAAAATATAAAATTCTCTGTTAAAAAGAAAAGCATTTTAAATAATTTTATATGTCTTTAGGGGTTTCTTTTTCTATTTAACTACCATTAGTCTTTTGTTCACAAAGAGTATATAAATGAATACTTTGACAACCAGAAACACTTTTATCCCCTTCTTTGTTCTTCTTAACTCTGTTCAACCAGATATGGTGTATTAGTTACATCTCCCTAGTCAAATCAGCCCTTATGACTCTCTAACTCTTCATCTATAATACAGGGACCATACTACCTACTGTGGGTGCCTGCTATATGAATTAAATAAGAAAATGTATAAAAATCACCTACCACAGCAGCAAGTAATAAATTGAGAAATTTAACTCCTGTGGACATATGTAACTTTATCTGAAAAACACCCACCTTCTCCTGCAACTGATTCCCCTTTATCCACAAGGTTATCAGGGGAGCCACCACATTGAAGATGACATGACCAGGCCCAGCCTCCCCAGTTGGTCAAGGAGCTGGCCTCTGAATGTAAGTCAAGGGAGGCTGAGGTTTAGAACTGATTGTGTGGATACTGAATATCCTTAGAGCTGAGTCACAATAATGGTAAAATGCTTGGTTGCTTGGTCAGGTTCTCATACTACAGTTTGCATCACCTCCCTATGGGGCATTTGGAAACATTTAGCATGTTTGTTTGGTTGTCACAATGACTGGGGTCACTACTGGGATTTAGCAGGCAAAGGTCTATAATGTCACACATCACAAAAAGATAGTACTGCCGTTCACAGTAAAGTATCCTGTGTAAAATGTCAATTATGCCTCTGTTAAGAAATACTACTAGAGAGAAAAGCTACAGATTTTCTATTTCTTAGGCTTAAAGCCCTTTTAGTGTCCTCTCAGTTTGCAAGTTCAATTGCTCCATGGATTCTATAGGATATCCTAACGTAGTTAAAAAACAAGACCAAAAAAATCCCTTAAGCTAGCCACAGTTGGCACTCTCAACAAGAAAAGACCTAAATAATAGATGGACTGAGTATTTTCCGGACTCTCTAGATGATGTGAAGAATAAACAACCAAAGCAGCACAGTTCTCTTATTTGCCATTAGTCCTACAACACCTCAATTTCCACTTGCTATGGACCTCTGAGTGAGTGCCATTATTGGAGGCTCCCTCTTACCAGCACCATGAACACAGCAGGTTTCTTAGATTCTCCAGCCCTCACCATATTCACCATTGTGTGGCTTATAAACGTCATTATGTTTCAGGGTCATTATGAACATTGTAAACTGAAAATTCTAAGCTCCCTTCTCATGGAACATACCCCTCTCAGCTAAGGAGAATGCAGAGAAACCCTAAAACTGAGTTCCCAGCCTTGATGGAGTGGGAGGTTGGACATGTATCACTTTACCCCTTCCCTTGATGATGGTAATCAGGCTTTTTTTTCCTTAAGGGCCAGACTAGCATTCTTTCCTGATAAGACCACCAATCATGAAATAGTTTTAGCAGAGCATGCACCCAGAGGGTTTCTGTGTCCCTGTTTCACCTTTTTGATATAGAGGACAGCCATTTCTGAACATGGACCCTATAAAAGGGCAGAAAGCTCCATTGCACAGGCACTTGTTTCTCTTTTCATAAATATTCATGACTCCTTCCATAGCTTGTTAAATATGTATATTTGGCCATCCACTCACTATAAATTCCTGTTCCCATTGTACCTGCCCTGAAGAACATGTTCCTGGCTTGTGGCTGGGGGCCTGCTTTCCAGCTTCCTAGAATGGCCACCATGCAACACTTTTATGAAAAATAAAGTTCTCCTTTTCAAATTATGAACCTTGTCATTTCTTCACTTAACAAGATTAAAATCTCAGATAATGTGCTGTGACAATGTTGAATTTTACCTGAGGCCTGTGCTCCTGACAAACAGTGATGATTAAGAAATACCCCCAATCCGTCTGTGTTCCCAGAAATAGCTTACTACAAAGGACTGCTCTTCCTCATTATGACTTAGCTAAGACTCACAGATGACCCCTTATTTACCCTTCACAAACCCTCCAAATTCCCCTTCTTTTCCCCATTAAAGATTAGCTGAACTGTTTGTCTGCACTGATCAGTCAGAAAAAGCCACATATCTTGACTTGATTAAACTTCACTTCAGCTTCTCTCCTTTCTCCAGGCCCCTGAAATTTGACCCACCTTCAATCTGAGCCAGCAGACAAGCCCTCTCCAAAGGCCCCTTTGGAAAATGGGCCAAAGTTAGGGTAGAATGTCCTCCGATCACTGTCCTTTTCTGCCACTGCAACCCATTCATCCCACCTCCCCATACATCTCTGGCCTCCTTCACTT